AAAGGGAGAAAGAGAAATTATATATATATATATATATATATATTAAGTAAAGTAACTTTATAAATAAAAATAATTTTGTATAATTTAGTTAACATTAAATATTTTTATAATGCTTTTGTAATTCATAAAAATTAAATATAGTCAAAAGTTACTTTTTACTTATTTTGAAGAAAATTATAAGTAATTTTAACAAAAGAATAACTTTTCATTTGAAAATTAAATATATTACTAAAAGTTATAACACTTTTTATTTTTTTTACATCTTTTGAAAAGTAAACACTGATTATATATATACATACATTTTTTTTAATCATATTTTGATTACTAAACAAGTTTTAAATTTTTGTTAAGGTTTTTTTTCTTCATTTTTTTTTGAGTTGTATGTCTAACCTATTATAATACTCTATAAAGCATTGACACCAACACAAGACACAAGACACGTCTAAATTTTAAAATATAGGACACGAGAGTTTGACAATCACACACATATATCACACAAAAGTTACTAAATTGATCAATATTTTGTAATTATCAGGTATCATTATCATTGAAAAGAAAATTTCGCAGCACTAGAACTTTGTCGCATTACATTAAAACAGTTAACTAACTTGTTAAGACCCTTAATAAAGAGTCACATACAAAATACTTAAAAAAACAAATTAAGAAATTTATTTATTTATTACAATTATATTTTTAATTTTAAAAAGATTAGTACAACAATAATAATTGTGTCTATAACTGTGTGGAGTCATTTAAGGTGTGTTCGAGTAGCGTTGAAGTTTAAAAAAAAAAAAGTACACCACAAAAATTTTCCTGACAAATGTTCATGATTTTAGGGGTGTAAGTGAGTAGTAATTCACGAATTCAAATTAATCTAATCAGTTTAGATTGATTTTTTTTTTAGTATTTAGATCAAATTCTAATCCGACTCGATTAAAATTCAGTATTATACGAATCAGATAGCAAGTTTGTGTTTTTTTACCTGTTTGATTTGGATATATATATATATATATATATATATATATATATTATAATAATAAGTTAGTGTAATCATTTATTTAGAATAATATTTTTTTATCACTTTTGTTTAGTAATGAGCATTGTATTTTTGAGTTGATAATATTGTAATAATACAATATATTTATTTTCAAATTTAGTTTGTATCATTATTTATCAGTGATAACATTACATTTATAATAAGATATCAAATAATATACATCTATTATGAAACATTTAAATTTTTATAAAAAATGAATAAATTTAATTATATTAATATAATTAATAAAATTCAGTCGATTGGATTGAATTTCAAAAAAGAATATACAAATTTAACTAAACTCAATTCATTGAATTTTGATCGGATCAACTAACACACTCAAACCGATCAACTCTAGTCCACATTCACTCCCTTCATTGTGTGTTGGTATTGGAGGAGTGTCAAACATCCCCAACACCTCTGCTGGTAGCGTGCTTCCTATTTGAGGTGCTGGAGGACTACACATACAAAACAAAAATGAATCTGTTTCTTGGGCTTCCAATTTAGGCTACTTCAATTGCTCAATTAAGGAGATATTGAGGAAATTATTAATGGGGAGGGCCCATTGCCAAATTTAACCATAAAAATGAAGTTGGAGTGCAAACTGCCGATAGTTGGACAAGATTTCCTTTTAGTGTTAAGGAATGTTAGATTTCAGATTTTTTAGTAATAAAAATATTACTTTATTTTCATTTTATTTCTTATTTTCAAATAGTTTGTATAAAAAATATTAAAAATATTTTCTATCCTTGTTATTTATTTATTTTTTACTATTTCCCATATAAAATTTTGAAAATTGTAGATAAAGGAAAATAAGATGATATTTTCTAATTAGAAATAAACACAAAAGAAAATCTTGTTCTCTTACTTTCATGGTTGAAAAGACTGTAAAACCGATCATTGGAAAATTCCCTTATATTGAATCTATATTGCAGATGATGTGTATTACATTAATATCCTTATTCTACATTAATAATAAAGATATTCTTATTTGGTTTCCATGTCATTTAGACTTAACTAGGGATTTTAATGATATGGTTTGGTTTGATTTTTAGCTTAAAAATTACTCAAATTAAATAAATAAAAAATTAAGTGTGGTTCGTTTTGGTTTGATTTAAATGTATTATGAAATTCAAACCATACTAAATTAATCTTGTGTGATTTAGTTTGATTCAATTTTTGTGGTTTTGAAAATCTGTTATTTAAAAATTAGTTAAAAATATGTAATATTATATTATTTGTTTAAAATATGTACGCCGAAGATAAAATTAAAAGTATATAAATATTAAAATATTTTGGTCATTCAATATATTTAACACTAATTCTTATCTTATTATTTTAATAAAAATATTTCTTTAATATACTTTTAGTTATTGTATTAAATATTTTTTCTCATATAGTGTGTAATTTAAGATAAAATTATTTTTGAACATTATAAATGATTCATAATATACTAATCTAAAATTTAGTTTAGTAGCTTATAATTTTATAAAAAATACTTTTTAAATAAAATATATTAAATATTATGATGAATATTTGAAAGAGAAATTTTTTTTAGTTTACTGTTTTGTAAAACACTTTTTTTTTTTATATCTTAGGTGCCAATGTTGTATATTTACACTATGTAATTAGAAGAGAAAAAATATATTTACATACAAGTATAGTTTGATTTGGATTGATTTCACATTCCTAAACTGCAAACCGAATTGAACTTTGTAGTTTAGAAAAATAAGAATCAAACAAAGTAGTTAGTTTGTAGTTTGTCATTGGTTTTCAAATTTTTTGTGTTTGTTTTCGATTTTGAACACACCTACACTCAACTATTGCAAAACACTCAATTATTTTATTTCAACCCCCAATGTCAGTTATATTATTGAAAAAAATCCTAATTGCATGTACAAATAAATCCAACTTGAAACTAATTTATAACAAAAATAAAAGGATGTTTCCATATGATCCCCACATTATTTTGGACTTTTTCACCCCTATTGCAAATTACTCCATTATTCTAGTTCAACCCCCAACGTGAATTACATTATTAAAAAAAGAAAAATACCCGTTTGCATGTATTACTAAATCTAATTTGAAAGAATAAAAAAAAGTGAACAGATTGAGTTTTTGGATTTTCACAAGTACATGTAGGAAGAGAGAAGAAAATGTGTAAGAAACGAGTGTAGAAGAAGCAAATATTACGTGTATAATTAAAATGAATGATTAATATAAAAGCTAATTAAAATAATTAGTGGAAAGTAGAGGTGTGGTGACAAATATGAAGGTATAGAATCCTAGTCACCCTAACTAAGATATGAAGATCCTTCAACATGTATTCTAAGAAGACACTTAAGTGATAACTAGGATATTTTGTTAAAGATAACAAGCATAACTTAGCATAACTTACAAACTAATACAATTGTCAGGAATTTTTTTTTTATTTTTAATTTTGTCAAATTTAGGGACTCATGATTGTGGGTGCCAAATGCATGGATTTAATTGAAAAATTAGTCTTTAAACCCTAAATTTTAAACATTTCACATCTGGCCTAAACTCTTTAAAATAGTCTGTGAACATAGATTGTATGGATGTATGTGTGTCAAATAAGCACCTAATGTACCATATAAGATGATCTATTAAAGTTACTTGAATGATGAACTATATTTAGATTTTTTTTTGTTAAATTTAAAGACTAAAATAACGATGCTTGCCAATTTTGGAGATCAAGATGAAAAATTAGGCTTGGCATATGATGTTTTGATGCATTATATTCCAATAATATACTAATCTCCCAAGTGTCCGTACTTATTTTAAGCCTTGGGAGCAAAAATATGAACTCATAATATAAAAATATTTAAAACTCTTTATTGATTATATTCTTCTCCTACAAAAAATATAAAAATATTTCTTTATTTATAATATAATTAATGACGGTGATTTGGTGTGAGTTTTGGAGGTGTGTCTATAAGAACTCAAGTGTTTAAGTTAGTTTGTAATTAAGAAGGAAAGAGAAAATAAGTGGTTGAAAAAATTCCTAAATTTATTAGGGAGCTTTTAATAGTCTTTGATTCGTGCATAGGCCTAATACATCATATATGGTATGTTAGATTTAAGAAAATAGGTTTAGAGTCTAACTCAATCTTATAAAATTGATTTGTAAGACAACGATTGCTCTTTACTTATATACACTATTATGATCTTATCTTTAATCGGTGTAGAACTCAACATACACTTTTCATGCCGAGGTTCAGACATTTTGAATGTAAAGTTTGCAAGACTACACATTTGTGGGTGGTTGATTATAGCTTGATAACGAGTGACCTAATAGCCCACCAATAATTATTAGGATAAACTTTGATATCATCTTAAGAAAATGAGTTAAGAGTCTAACTCAACATTACAAAATCAACTTGTAATGTGAGGATTACCCCATTTATATACACTTGGTTAGCTTTATCACTACTCGATGTAGGATATCCAAAACACTACCTCACATTGAGAATTGAACATCTCGAACGTAATCTTTTGCAGGATTAGACAT